TTTAATATTTGGAGCTAATAAACATATCAGTTATACGCGAGCTCACTACAAACAGACATGTTTTCCTTTCATCCACATGTGGACAACTCCTGCTGCCGCGCACAACACACTTCCAGATCTGCTCCACGCGAATAAGGGTGACGTGACTTTGTCTTGTGCGCATGCTCAAAGGAAATGATTCAAGAGTCGATTCTTTTGATTCGTGAAGCGAAAGATTCATTGTAGTTGGTAGAAGCATATACATAACAAATGCATAGAAAGGAAATTAAAAAAAGTAAAATAAAAAGAATTTATTACGTCTATGTGTAGAAGAGCACGCATATAAATAAATAAATGACGGAAGTGTTTTACTCCGTAAATTTTACCAAAATAAAGCAAAAATTAATCAAAATAAGCATACCGCTCCGAATTCAGTAAACGTGAAGTATAAGGGTAATGGGCCGTGGCCGTGGTCATTTAGGGAGAATTTTTTTTTTCTTTGGAAAAATAATGATAAAGGAAAGGCTGTGGTGCAATGGACTGTGGCATTTTTATAAATTGGACAATGGCGCCCTCTAGCTTGAAAAGTGGTGTTTTGCAGGCAAAGCTATTACCCAGAAGCCTGCTTGATGAAAACCAGTCAATTTCCATTGATGCATGGTTTGTTAGGATAAGACAATATTTGGCCAAGATACAACTATTTTGAAAATCTGCAATCTCAGGGTGCAAAAAAATAAAAATTCAAAATATTTAGAAAATCGCCTTTAAAGTTTTTCAATTGTAGTTCTTAGCAATGCATATTACTAATAAAACATTAAGTTTTGACATTTTTACGGTAAGAAATGTACAAAATATCTTAATGGAACATGATCTTTACTTAATATCCTAATGATTTTTGTCTTAAAAGAAAAATCGATCATTTTGACCCATACAATGTAGCTGGCTATTGCTACAAATATACCTGTGCTACTTATGACTGGTTTTGTGGTCCAGGATCACAACTGATAAGCTGGTGGACTTATGATAGGGTGTCTGTGTTGTGGAAATGTTACCTATCCAGTCCGAATGACTAATTCTACCTTTAATTTCAATCTTGTCAGCAGGAAATTTTTATCAGGGCATACACTACAGTCATTATAGCCTAAATGTGCTGAACTGAGCTGGCACATCTTGTCAACAGGAAATACCTATCAGGATGTAGCTACTCCCAAATGTGTTAAAAACGTGGGTAGCACTTCATACACTATCACAACGATGAAATAATATCACAACCTGGATTGCATGGGACACACTAAAACTGAAAACACCTGACAGTATGTTCTGAATTAGCAAAACATAGTATGATTCATGATTACACGTGTCAAGAGGAAAGTTTGTTGATGAATAACAAATATATTTAAATATATATTTTTTTTTTTTAATACAAATGTGTAGATTATTATTTAAATGGCTGTGTCCACTCCACAGATCAGTAGGTGGCGTAAACGCATTAGCTACATTTCTTGGAAGATGGACTGAAGAAAGTGAAGGTTTTTAGGCATTCTAAATTTCACAGAGAAGTTGCTAAAACCTTGAAGAATGAAGGGTCATTCTGTATTGTATTTATATTATGTGTAATGCCATTAAACCCGTCTCTGTTCTCAGAACAGTCAGTAGGACTCATGTGGAGTATTATTGGTTGGCTCAGGGATGAGTGGTTTACCCAACACGAGTAGTTTACACAGTCAGATATATTCAGGTATGAATGGAGGGTGAATGATCCATCTGGGTTGGTTTTGTTAATGCTGTGTGTGAGAGAGGCGTTCTGAAATTCTCAATTTCTCATCCACAACTGCTCTAGAGCAGAAGGGTAAAACCCCTCAGAGCTGCACAGGACCGTGGGAAATCCACCCAATGCTCTTACATGTGACACAGACACAATGGGTTGTGCTATAAGAAATATAAGAGTTACGATAAAATGCTTATTTATCAAGAGCATATACTATGCATGATACACTCAAATGTCATTTTGTGATTCCTGTTTTTCGTAAAAATCTTACCAATCACTTGAACAAATGTTCTTTCTTCTCTCAAAAGCACAGAAGGAGGTGGTATAGCTCTTGTCACAACACATTTGTAAGTGCCAGCATCATTTATCTGCAGATTTGATATCTCAAATGCCATTTGCACAGTTTCTGGAATCCAAACAAATCTAAAGTGATTTCTACATGGCCGATATATCCATAATTTGTTACTTTTAATTGCTGAGCAGCACAATGTACCATTAGTTTTCAGTTCCACTATGTCATCACTGTCAGTTGCTGGTTTGTAGTTACAGCTGATATTGACTGACATTCCTCGATGAACAGTCTGAACTGAGGTGCCGTTAAATAATGCATGTCCAGCTATAAACACTGAAAAAAGACAGGACAGGAATAATAATAATAATAATAATAATAATAATAATAATAATAATAATAATAATAATAATAATAATAATAATAATAATAATAATAATAATAATAATAATAATAATAATAATAATAATAATAATAATAATAATAATAATAATAATAATAATAATAATAATAATAATAATAATAATAATAATAATAATAATAATAATAATAATAATAATAATAATAATAAACTTTATTTAACTGAATTGTTGCATTATACCATGTGTTAAAATTAGTATTCAGTTGTTACCAACCAGTTCACTATTTAATTTTAAATATTATTTACGAAATAAACAATTCTTAATAATAATAATAATAATAATAATAATAATAATAATAAACTTTATTTAACTGAATTGTTGCATTATACCATGTGTTAAAATTAGTATTCAGTTGTTACCAACCAGTTCACTATTTAATTTTAAATATTATTTACGAAATAAACAATTCTGTAATAAATAAAATTTTTAATTAAATAAAATTCAATTGTAACCTGGGGTTCAATATTTGAAATTAATTTTACAGATTAAATAGAATCATTACCAAAAAAGAAAGAATGAAGCATCCACACACATGTGGTCACAGAGTTACACTTTGATGACATCGGGAGAAAACAAAAAGAGAAATATTGCGATACATTTGAATTACATGACATGGTCCACTATTCCGTTTTTATACGACTGACAATTTTATACGAACAAAAACAGCCAGAAGAGAAAAAGATCAGTTCAGCGGCGCTAGATATTACCCAGCAAACACGTTAATGTGGGGCCCAAATGGGTTTCACATGGGCTACAGGGGTACAGAGTGGGCATGGGCATAAAATGGGCATCTTATCTGGGGCCCACTTGGGTGACCCAGCTAGGACCCACATGGGTGAACCCAGGTGGGCTCCCCATGTGGTTCCTAGTTGGGTAATTAATGGGAAATTTGTGCATGGGCTCAAAATGGGCTACACATGGGACCCTATTTGTTTTATCAAATATACAAGTGCAAACATAATTAATCCCATATAGGGTGATTACGTGGATATATATAGTGCACATGTGTCTTTAAAATTATTTTTGTTGTTGTTTTGACACTTGGGTTACTTAATCAACATCTAAAAATTCCGACACTCCTGCATTCGTACACAATTTTCCACTGACATTTAGCAAAAAAAAAATGCAGCCACTTTAATTGTGCTGACAACTTTCTCGCGAGATCCCATCCCCCCACCAACTCTCCCTCTCTCTTGTTCGAGATGCTTCGGCACTTCACAGAACGATCGGCGTATGACATCAAACTACCGCGAGACGCAGCCCCTTCCTCGATCTGCATGGGACAGATCCCGCGTGATTTCATTCAGCACCCCTATGGGCCCCACATAGGTGTGTTGGCTGGGTAGAAACCTCATCGTAGCAGCGTTTACGTTTTTGTAATTTAACTTCAGTGTAATATAGGCTAACAGAAAGTGTAGCTAGTGTCGTAAATGTACATTATTTAAAACGTACGATATACATTTTTTCGTATAGGATACGCGTTATCACGGTTTGTGAAAAGCGTCTATTTTCAAAACATTTGACCATAGAATATACGATCGACGATTCAGAATCAATCATACCAGAGAGCCGTGAAATCAGCAGTTTTTCAACAAACTTTGATAATATCTTGCAAGACAGTTCCCTTTCATGGGAATTTCGAACTGCGTCCTCTAGGGGTCGCTATGGGGCACGCAGATGACTGACTATGGCTCCCAAAGTTATCTACCAAATTCTCCAGCAACACAAAACATTATAACATAACATCTGCATTATTATACTATTTTTCCATATATACATAGCCTGTTAATAGTTTATGTATAATGAAATTCCCATATTCTCACCTTATCAGGTTTTAGAAATTGCATCCTGTTTTATTTGCCTATTGCAGAGACTGGATTTTCTCATGATGGTGCAATGAAAAAGTGACGTTGGTCTGCTGTGGTGGTGTAGCTAATTTTGGTCAAATCAACAAGCTCAACCAATCCAACTAAGGCAGACTGAAATAGTACTGGGTTTGTAGGTTAAAGAGGAACTAATTAAAGTTTTTTGTTTGTTTGTTTTTAATCTATCACTCTTAGGGTACTTACTAAAATACTTAATAACAGTTTTGTTTTGTTGATCAGTATTCATCCAGTGAGGAGCCAGTCAGCTCTCTTCTTTTAGGCCTTCATTGATTAGACAAGTCTAGTATAACAGTGTTGCATTGCTCTGAAAGCAAGCAGGGTTCAGTTTTATTCCAAGCTGAAAAAGAAACATTATGACTTGCAGCTGTGTGACAATGTCTAAAAAAGTGCATAGGAATTCAAATGGTGAAACCAAATGTCCCATAGACCTTATTTGCTTGTATTTGTCTCCAAAAAGACTCCTTTTTTTAGAACAACATCTTCATGCTCTGACTGTAGCCTACAGCAGAACTGAGAAAGCGATGAAATTGTCAGGTTATTTTAACCACACTGTGTCTACATGCTTGATGTAGGTCATGAGAAAACTTTCAAAGACTACATTTTTTAAATAGGTAATAAGCCAACACAGGAAAGAAAACTACAACCTGCAAGCCATTTAATTGGTTTTTACGTGCTGAAGCTGGCAATGAACACAGGTCTTATATTTTGTGTCATATACTCTGTCAACATACTGTATATACAGTCAACAAGATGTTAATGGAAGGTTAAATAATCATACAGAAATTATATATTACATGCACAAATTTGGTATCAGGTTATTGAATAAGATAGAAATGGATCTGGATATCTATCAATGTAAAATCTATCAGTGTAAAACATTTGGTGTTCACTGTGGAGATGAGCGAACTCTGACAGGGCTGCATGGAACTGGACGATGGTCACCCAACAATGAATATATGTCATACTGCAGGTGAGATTGGAGATCAGGCTCAGGTGTGACATTCACTCTTACATGAGACCTGTGATGTGCTCTTCTTGGATGAACATGAGAATAATGACTTGATCAGAATGTTTTTGATTATTATAGCATTTGTTTTAGATTTCACTAACAACATTATTCTGCCATTGGTTACTGAGATTTAAATTGATAAGAAAAAGAAGACACAAGTGTGTTGGAGATCAAATGTTAAACTCACTGGAATGCTCACACACAGCCGTGATAATCAGTATGGTGAGAATCAGCAGCACAGAGGTCACCAGAGCTATCCATACATTATCTATAGAAAAAGGTTATTGAGCAGAATTGCATAACAAAACTGATTGTTTAACAGAACTATCCCATGAGACACACGATGGTATTTAATGCTATTATGTACTTTAAATAAAAATACGTAATACCTCTGTTCCCGTAACAATCAGGAGACATGTGGAGTATTATTGGTTGGCTCAGGGATGAGTGGTTTACCCAACACGAGTAGGTTACACAGTCAGATATATTCAGGTATGAATGGAGGGTGAATGATCCATCTGGGTTGGTTTTGGTAGTGCTGTGTGTGAGAGAAGCGTTCTGAAATTCTCCATTTCTCATCCACAGCTGCTCTAGAGCAGAAGGGTAAAACCCCTCAGAGCTGCACAGGATCGTGGGAAATCCACCCAATGCTCTTACATGTGACACAGACACAACGGGGCGTGCTATATGAAATACAAGACAGTTATAATAAAATGCTTATTTATCAAGAGCAAATACTGTACATGACACACTGTTATACCATATATGCACTCAAATCACTTGTCATTGTGATTTCTGTTTCATAATAAACTTACCAATCACTTGAACAAATGTTCTTTCTTCTCTCAAAAGCACAGAAGGAGGTGGTATAGCTCTCGTCACAACACATTTGTAAGTGCCAGTATCATTTATCTGCAGATTTGATATCTCAAATGCCATTTGCACAGTTTCTGGAATCCAAATAAATCTAAAGTGATTTCTACATGGCCGATATATCCATAATTTGTTACTGTTCATTGCTGAGCAGCACAATGTACCATTAGTTTTCAGTTCCACTATGTCATCACTGTCAGTTGCTGGTTTGTAGTTACAGCTGATATTGACTGACATTCCTCGATGAACAGTCTGAACTGAGGTGCCGTTAAATAATGCATGTCCAGCTATAAACACTGAAAAAGATAGGACAGCCGATAAATATTCAGTTGCATTTGAAGTCACTTTATTGTCATTGTTGCATTATAGTATGAAGATTTAATTCAGTGATTTTCCAACAAATGATTATAATCTGTGCTTCAAATTTGAACAGAATTGCATAATCATTACCAGGAAACAAAGAGAGCAGCATCCACGCACATGTGGTCAAAGCGTTACACTTTGATAATATCTATTGAGAAGAGAACAGCAAGATAAATCAGTGGAGAAGATAGTGATACATTTTGTATTATGGATACATTGTTATGGTTTGTTTTACCAGCTGTATATTATCTAACTTTTGGATGATTCACATAATAATATTATAATGTTGTTGTCAAATCCTAGGCTTACTGAAATGCGATACCAGTCCTCTATGAGGAAGTATTGGTATAACTGTTTTTTTTTTTTAATGTGTAATTGTTTTAATTGTTTTGGTTTGCATTGTGTGTTTCTTGTTAATGGACCTTGAGTCAGGAAATAAAAGAAAGTTTCACTACTGCATGGGTGCTTTTTTAAAAGTACATGAAATGTTGATTTGAACTGAAATTACTTTTTTAAACAAAAGAAATCAGATATGAAAAACATGAAACTAGCACAAGTATGAAACTGCTTGCCAAGCCGAACTCTCAGTTATACACTTCAGCGGTTATTTTAAATATACTAAATATATTTAACAATAGACTGACCAATCAGAATCAAGCGTATCAACATATAAGCTTTCTGTGGTGTGATACAATGCGAGAATAAATTTCACATGCATTACTGTATTTGCATCATAAAACCGCCCAAAACAGGTATTGTATATGATTATGTCAGAAAACAAAAGCTGATTCAAGCTATTTACCAAATTCAACAAATAATATATTTGCAGATATATAGACTAGTATTATTGATCTTATGTAATATGAAAAATTCTCACCATTTCATATTTCAGAAACTGCATCCTCTTTTGTGTTTTGCAGAGACCTGCTGTTCTAACTCATGATGGTGCAAATGAAGAAGTGATGTTGGTTTGAGGTAACGGCGTAATTTTGGTCAAGTCAAATACAAGCTCAAGCAATATGACTGATGTAGTACAGAGATAGCACCTATTTTGTAGACTGAAAGAAAAACAACTTAAAGCTTAAGCCATGACAATCAAGAGCACTATGTGTTCTCATGCAGTTACTACGTGACAAACAATGTACAATGTTATCTGTTCATCCAGAGCCAATCACAGATGATCCTTTCTTTCATTCTTTCATTCATTGGACCAATATAAGCGAGGCGTTACTCATTGTCCAAGCTACAATAGAGAATTAACATCATGGCCTGCAGCCGTGACAATCTAAAAGTGCAAGGGACTTCAAATGGTTAAAACAAATGTCCTCCATACCTCATTTGCCTTTAACCTCTTTTGTAGAGCATCTTCGTGCACTGAAGAACCGGTGAGGTCTAGTTATTTTAACCACACAGTGTGGGAGGTTGTGAGCACGTGTGATGCAGGGAAGCTGTCGTTTAGGTCACATGTGAAAAAGCCGATAAGAAATAAAAAGAATGACTTACGCCATGACCACAAAGTCAGTGCATGGATGATGTGCTCAGACCGAATTACTGCCTGCAGTTGCACACAGTTTCAGTTGCATCTTAAGGCTGTCAGAGGAAGCTCTTTGAAAGAGACTTCCTCATGTTTATTTATACAAAATGTGGAATGCTATTTTTAGGCTTCATTTTTGTGTGTTGAAGCTATCCAGGTTGGAAAACTCTACACAACTTTGTAATCTGAACAGATTTTAAAACACTAGGCATCATACACTTTCCGACTTTGTATATGGTTACGGAGTAAAACTGGACATTGTACAATAAACAACTTTCAAACACAACAAACTCAAACAGAAACATGTAAGAGATGCATAACAAATGTAGTTTGACCGGATGAAATAGTTTGAGGCTAAAAAATCTGAGTCTGTGCCTATTATACACTACACAATTTTCTGTCAACCCAAAAATCTGTCGACTCAAACCAAACCAAAGCTGTCGAACCAAAATCTGCAGACTGACTGTAAATTTTGGCAACTGGTGTGTTTGGACTGAAAACAGCCACAGATAACCAGAGCCATACTAATATATTTAGGCAAGCACCATGTTTGTGAGTGTTAATATTAAGTTACTTATAATAGTAACTTCTATGTTAGAAGCAATATTGCCAGTTACTTTGTCCATTATGGCTCCACCAATGAAAATAGTTTGAAAGGAAGCCACAGCAGAAAGAACCACCAAGCATCTCACAACAAAAGCAATGGTATTTCTGTTTTTGAACTAATCAGTTGAGTGAATGTTTCAATAAATTACTCATAAAGAGTCACATTTCGTTCCTGAATCATTCTGAACAAATCAACTGAACGCATAATTCAAAGACTGATTTATAAAAACTGTTGCTTGTTGCTTGTCATATTGATGTAACCTGCAAGAAGGACTCACCGAATCTCTTTTACTAATGCACTTTTGCATCAAATCAAATTTAAGCCAATCAAATTTTGACCATGAGCCAGTTGCATTAACATAGCCACTATGTTAAGACTGTGGCTGCGTCTGAAATGGCATACTTGAGTAGGTACTTATTTAATAAGTAATTACTTTGTGACTGCTAAAACAAGAGTATGTTCAATGTCATATGAATGCAATCTGGATGTAGGTACTATATTCGCCATGTTGTCATTACCATGGGATTTACCAGCATTAGTTGTGTCACTGCCATTCACAAGTCCTCTCCTGTGGCCTCATGGGATAGTAAAGTGTCCATCGTATACACACTTCAGAATATTCTGGAAGTATTAGGTCATCCAGGTACTTTTTGCCTACTCTTTTATGAGTACTGTGAATTCAGACATACATCTTTTGTCACATACTGTTTTTGCCTATAGACGGTTTCAACGGCAACAACATAAACAAACGTTATTGCGCATTCGCGGTTTTGTGGCCCTAACTTAACTTTCGGTACACTTCCGCAAACATTCAATAACAACAAAGTCCCTCTAGAGTATATTATTTCTAATAATAAGCGAAATAAATAACAAGTAAATTAGCTAGCAAGTTAAAACTATGTCTAGTCATTATTATTTTGGGTTACCAGTAGAAGAAAAGAACCGTTATTTGGCCAAACTTAAATGCGACAAAGTTACACTACCAGACCCGTTCAACAAAATGTTGAGGCAAGAATGTTTTTCTACAGACCTGTCTGATTTACCGGAGGTCAGTCAGGTACACATCTTTGAATACCTAGTTGAGAAGGAATGTGTATATACAAGGGAGGTGTTCAAGGCATATCGCAGCTTGGATGCGTATAACTATTTTCATTCCGGAAAAGTTCAACGCATTCTAACCTACACGAATGGAAATACCTGTGTTGTTTACGGGGAAATCGAGGCGGGTCAGACGCTTTCAAAGAGCTACTCCGCCTGGATCGTTGCGAGGAAGTCCGGCGAAGTCCAGAGTGGGCATTGTACCTGCATGGCAGGGTAAGTATGGCTGGCTATGCTATACAATACAGCTAACGTTACATTTTACAGTAGCCGCGTGACCATGGTAACGCGCGTGCGTTCGATTAAACCGTCTATATAGTAGGGAAGTATGCGATTTCGGATGCAGCCGTGTCTTAACTAGTTTGACCAATAGCAGTTAGCCAAGAAGTACTCGTGTTACTTTTTTGATTCAAATTCGGCCAATCAACCTTTTTGTAACTGACTTAAAAAAGTTATGACCAGTCTTGAAGAAAAAAATGTGATTATTTTTTTAAGACAAGTTTAAGCAGTTCATGCAACTGGCCTCATTACTAACTGTTGTATGAGTGTAGTGAAGAAGATCACACAAATCTGACATTGTGCTCATTCAGTGTTTATTGTTCAAATGATCGGACAATGGCAGGGCTGCATGGGACTGGATGATGGTCACCCAGTGTTGAGTACAGTATCTCAGACTGCAGGTGATCATGGAGGACAGGCTCAGGTGTGAAACTCACTCCTACATGAGACACAGACTGCTGACCTGCTCTTTCTGGAACAAGATAAGAGCAGATTTATGCACACAATGATGAAGGTTGATCACATATGAGATGAAATTAACACCCTATAACAACATCAGTACATATGTGGGCACAATCAGGTTCATATAACACAAACGTTCTGTCATGACACTCTAGATCAGTGGTTCTCAACCCGCGGCCCGTCACAAATTCAAATGCGGCCCACCATGCTGAACACAATTTAAAAAATAACTTTCAGTTTTACAATTCATTTGAGTTTTTACATTAATTGAAAAATGTACTAAACAAATGTAAGCTATAATGTTGTTATGTAAAATAATGTTGTTTTTCATATATTATTTTCAGACATGAGCAGCCCTGTACTCACGTAATTAACGTTACGCATTTAACGAACACTTACAAGCGCGCAGTTTGGCAGAATTCAATTCAAATAGTCATCAGCAGCCATTAGTTCGGTAAAATTGAGCATCAAAATGGACACATTTGTTATTAAGGGAGAAAAACGAAATGTGGAAAATGCCAGCGAAGGAACACATACAAACAAGAGTAGTC